CAATAATTTTTGCGCTATTCCAACTTTTTAGTTACAGCTTTACTTGAATTATAACAAAGTGTGATTGATTCGTTTTTAGTGGACGACATTGGAGAAATCTGCCACCGAAACATGGCGCACAGAGCGAGTTCAACGGTGCCTCAACGGAAAGCTGATCATTGCGACGTTTTCTGGGAGCTGGTTGGGGTGCGGCTTGCATAGTCAAAATTATTGCTCCCGGGAACCTGTCCATCAGTGAGACAATTCATAAACTAATGTACCGGGCTCAGGGTAAAGCAGTAACGGTCGGTCTCCTCGTGCGCTCGACGGCGATGCCCGATGGCGTCGTATGCTGAGTAAGCTGAGGGCACTGAAAGAGGCTGTGCTCCTACTAATGGAGGGATTTTTCAGGAATATTTACTTGGAATGTCCTTTTTCGCCCCTTGCCCTGTATGTGAACTTGTGCCCGACCCAATTTATCGTATTTCTGCCTCCAAATGCACGATAGCAGGCTATGCCCGGAGGGGTTTACATATGAAATATTAAGAGCTTGTCAGTCGCTTCAATCCATACGAATGTGGCTTCTGTCGTTTGAAGACGCATAAGATGAGAATTGTTGCCTCTTGGAGCTGAAGTCAGATGTGGTAGAGGGAGCAACGTTCGAGAGAAATCCTAGGAAAACCGGCTTCGTACCCAAAAAATAGAACCCTTTTCCCCATTGTACTTTGGGAGAGCCAGTAACCAAAACGATTTCGTTCGCAAATGCCAGTCGCGATATCCGGTGTCGTGATAAGTGATCTCATACTTTCGTGGGTAGCGCAGAACTCGAAAAAAAAATAAAACATGTGGCCGACATTAAATGTCCACCCGAAGTGAAGAGCAAATGCATGACGGCGATGGCCAGGGTTGTTATCAACTCGTTGCGATGGACGCGACCTTCGTGGTGATACCTCATCCTTGGAATCCCGCAGCCCTTTGACAGTTGGCGTACATCCTCGTCTTTCGTATCCTACTCATCGTAACATCATCAGAAAAAAAAAGAAATAAAAGGAGAAAAAGACGAAAAAAGGAAAAGGAACGTCAAAACGCAAGCCTCGAACGAAAGTGGTGCGTTCCAATAAAAGAAATGTTTCGGAAAGTTACCTGAAAAAAAGATAATGCAGAAGAAGCTGCCGGTTGCGTCCAAACAAGACTCTACTATTCAGCAGTACCACATGTGTATAGAGAAGGGCGTGTTGGCACAGGTTTTTTTCTTCAACACAATCAATTGTTATATTTTGATTCGCATATCATATCTGGGAGTACTGTCAAATGGTTGTCCCTAGTTTGGCGCCCTAACCGGACCTTATGAAAAAAGGAACTTTTTTCATGCCTGCGAACCTGAAACATATTACTTTCATTGGCGATATGCTTCCTACTGAAGAGCCTTACCCTGAGCTTGCCTTTTGATTTGAAACTGTAGGAGCTATGTGGTACAGATGCTCGAGAAAATAACTTCGACGGAAATTTCTGAAGCACTAAAAACAAACAAAATCGACGACAAAAAACAACAAAACAATAACAAAGGCCAACAACCGTACCATTTTTGAGTCGTTTGTGAACGAGGGCTAATTGCTAGAGAAATAAAGCCTTAGAGTAATTGCCCCTCAAAGAACTGTAGCCACGCAACCGGTTTGCACGACCAGTTTTTGTCTTATGTTAGTACAATTGAAAAAACAGAGTTATATTTGAATGTACGCCGGTACTGCGGATACTATTCCATTTTAAGATACGAAAAATAATTTTTTCATACTGTGTGTCCTATTTGAGGAAGACGTCCAACGACACTTAATCATAGACACTACATTTGTATTCTGGAGTCGATTATCTGCAACTCGTAAAGATGAAGGATTGAAACGAGAGAGTGCGAGTCGCGCCATATTACCAGTAATAACGGCGGTCGTCGAGTGTTAACACCGCGTCTGAATTTTTGCAAAATCAATCGATGGAACGTGGTAGATGGTTCACCGCGTACCGTCGCGTGGGCCATAATTTTTGCTAAAATGGTCTAATGAAGTGCGGAATTTACGCTGAAAAGACAACTCACTTCAAATTAAGGATGGTGAGTGGTACAAGGAAAAACCATGAGAAACGGCCCGGAATCCGAGAAATGGGACCCCTTCCTTACTCGTTGATTTCCGCATTGATGAGACTCTCATCGTGCACTCTTCAACGCTCGCTCTGTGACATGTCGGTGGGCGTACCACGCCAACTGCAGCAAGAGTGAGCCATGCTAGATTGCTGCGGTATTTAGTCGCCAATTGCGTGTCCATCCGCCCCTGAGAAGGTCCACCTGTCCCTCACTAGGCAATTTTCCCCTTCTTCGACCTTCGTTCTTATGGTGTAATCCTCCTTTGAGTTAAAAGATAGCGATGAATGATTCCATGTCGATCGCAATCGCCACCGGGAAAATACATTTGGTCTTCTTGAATGGCTCCCTTTTGAAACGTGCAAAGGAAATCACCAAGAAGGGCGCGCCGAAAATATGAAAGTGATGGAGTCACGGTGTGCAAAAAAATACTTCTATGGCATACTCGCAAAGTCAGCGAGGAACACCTTTCGACGATATACAGCGATCGATGTGAACAAATACGCTAGCGTTAGCCAAATCACTATGGCAAAAAATTTCGAAAACCCAACTCTAATTCGCTGTGTTGTAGTTGATGCGATCTACGACGCCCTTTTCGCTCCAAACGCCTGGATAGCCCCGATCGAATAATGGGCACCGTACCCACTTATGATATATGTTTCAACTTACCCACTTTTTTAGGAATTATATACTGAGATTCTTACGCACGCACCTTACGCGCAGGCGAGAGCATCGAGTCGACGCGGCTTGAAGAACTGAGTTCAAGTTGTCCGTAGACATTTTCTATGTCAGTACAGTTCATTTCAGTGCACGTCACGTCCACTGTGGGCGAAGCTCCGTTTGGCCTATGTGTTTTGTACATACGTGTTAACAGACACGCAATGCAGCAGTAAATGGTTAATGATCTCTCGTTAACTTCCTCGCTCCGAAAATTGGGGAGATCTTACAGTACTTTTCTAGTGATGGTTTTTGTACTAGTACTGAATGTAAGTGGTCATAGTAGTGCTGGTAATAATTTCAAATCAATGCAATCATAATATTAATAGTTGCCGAGTTTTCGCCGATTTTTGAGGTATTCCACGTTGTGTCAAGCCAATAGATTATGCATAAGATGTGGGAAACGCAGGTTTTGTTGACAAAGCTGCCAACGAGGTTAAAGGTTTCTCATAAAATTAAGCTTTGATCGTTGACCACTGAACCTAGTAACTTGGCATTTTTCGTGTTCCTCGAGCAAGCTGAAGGTTATCTTCACAGACACTGGATATCATGCTTTCATCCTTACAAACATTGGATCGAGACGAGAGGAACGTCCACATGTGTGAGCGTCCAGCCGCTCAAGGCCACCTCGACTTCCACTGTCTCCTGCGAGCGTAGGGCAGCAGACCCGATTGTAGTTAGGAAGCGGCGCTGCGGGCGCATTATGATATACAGCACGGTATCTAACCATTTTTCCATATTCAAGTGATGGGATGAAATACGCTAGGTGAAGGATTTCAAAGATTTTCATCTCTTCTCTTTTCCCTTTCCATGAAAATCATGAACTGTCTCTCGTCCCTCTGTAACTGAATCAGTTTTTCAATGCTTTTTTTTTGAAATTTAGCTCATGAAAAAGTCGCGAACAATAAGTAATTGGACGTGAATACGTAAGCTACTATATTTTTCACTTCTCTGTTACCACATGTCATTTGGCATGTAATAAACATTACATTACATTACATTACGAAAGCGTATTTCAACTACCCAAGGAATCTGCCCACTGCTCCTGGCACCCGTCTCTGTGCTCTCGACGATTTTTCCGCAAGAGCAACGGTCCGGCTGGACAAGCCAGATGAGGAGGGTCGAGTTGCGTTTTTGAGAGGCGTCATAAGCGAAATGGAGTCGCAATAGTGGATAAAGTAGTAGGACGGGAAGGGAAAAAGGTGGAAAAGTTGACCGTTGTGCGCTCATTTTCTGTCCGATTTATCGGTACCACCTTCGGAATATCGGTTTACCACTGACTGGAAACGTTCAGTAGCGGATTGTCGATGATTGGCCAAATATATGCTCACGGAAAAACCATGATTCTATTTCAGCCATAAATCACTGGCTTGAGACTCATTATCCACGATAAGAATGAAAAGAACAGAAATATTGCTTTTGTTTTGGTAAAAAATTCGAAAAATCGAAAGGCTGCTACGCGTTCAAATTGCCCACGGACGTCTTTCACAAATGCTGGCGACGGGGATGCTTCCACTTGGTTCTTGGAGTGCCTTCACTAGAAACTCTTTCTGGCCTTCTGCTTTATTGCATTCACATCTCACACTTCTACTCCATCCTATTCTATCGATCGATTTGTCTCTACTCTCCGAAATCGCGCGCTTTAACCCGATTCTTTCATTGCGTCGCCTGATACGTAGCCGGCCAAAGGCCAACTTCTTTCCATGCCTCGCCTTTGGCTCCGCCCGAATTACCTTCGATGTCCATAGAGTGTAGTTTTTGTACGTTTGTTTCTCTTCGGAAACCGAATCTTCATGCGTGAAACTTTGTGTGCTGTTTCCAGTGATCACAACTGACACATTCATGTCAAGAAAGAATGCAAGAATTTTCCGCGAAGGATTCCTTTAAACAAGCGCAGTGAATAAATTTGGATATCCTCTCAAATGTTACATGATCAGCTTATTCTACCCCCCCATAGAAAAAAAGTATACCAAAAAACACAGAAATGCATCCACTTCGGCGGAGAAGTTCAAAGACAAGGCAGGGGAGATAAGGTATGTGAGCCGGGAGAGTGTAGAGATCCAGAAGGGGCAGCTAGCAGCCAAACAACATACCCACACAAAGAATCGAATTTGGCCGCCATTAAAGTTTAGCGAGCGTGGAATCCACCCGCCTAGCGTTTCGATGGTAACAATGTGCCCCACACACATACACCACACTCTAAGTAAGGGCTTCTTAGTGCTGAGCCCGACTTGGCTTAATAGCTCTTAAATGTTCACTAAATTAGGTATCACAATGGAGAAACCATAAACAGCTATACTCATGAGAATAAGCTTTTTTTCTCAAGAAGAGCACCGTGTAGGCGCAAAAAAAATTAACCACACACCAGATCTGGCTCGAGCGAGGTAATTAACCAGAGCCAACGGAGTATAGGGACTAGCAATACGCAGCGAGCTAAACCCCATTTCCCACGGCTGGGCAATGCGCAAATACCGATTGGCCTGGCGAATAAATCCATACCCTCTTGCTCCTCCGTTTTGAGCCACAACAGCAGCAATACTTCTGCGTTGCTGACACGAGTGCTTCAATTGCGAGCGAGTTCGTTCCAGTGGAACCAAAAATACAAAGATTCGAGTTAACATTAAACTTTCATTCACATTCGTAAATAACAACAAATTAATAAAAACAAACAACAAAAACCAAATTGCTTCACAAAACTCATTACCATACAATACAAAACAACCGGGGAAACAAACTATATTAAAACATTGTATATTGTGAAGCAATTGATTTGATTGAAAATTGTTTTAAGGTCTTTTCGACACTAATTCCGATCCAGTAGTCCATCCCTATTTGGCCAATGTAGCGACAATAACTGGCCAATTTGTGACGATACCATATATCGTGAACGCTAACAGAACTATTATAACCGCCCAGCATACTAGTTGAATTCCAAATTTGTGCCACACAAAGCATATACAGGGACGGAACTCTGAAATGTTGTGATGGATATTCTGAAGGCGCACTGTGGTCACTAACTAAGGTCTCACCTCGACGTAAACCAAAACATGTTCCACCTGGAGCGCATCGGTCTTGGCAGATATGGGTTCTGTAATAGAAATGAGTAATGGCAGCAGTAAAGAAGGTCCGGAGGGTTCCGCTCGTCAACAAATCTCGGCCTTCCACAAGCTCCCCATTACCGTAGTAACTAGTAAATACTTCCTCTAACATAATAATGGCATGAAAAAATGTTCAC